AATTATTTTTGTTGCTACTTCATAACTGTAATGTTGCTACTGTTATGAATCGTAATATAAATATCTGATATGCAGGATGATCTTAGGCGACCCCTGTGAAAGGGTCGTTCGACCGCCAAAGGGATCGCGACCCACAGGTTGAGAACCACTGCTCTAATTAATTCCCTTTTAATGTGCACGACTTTCCTGCAACAGGCCACTAGTTGTCAAATAAAAATATAACAGCCAACACACCAATAGCCATCCCTTTTGAATGAATCAAAATTATACCTTTTTTTGTCAGGTCAGCAAAAAATTAAATTCAATCCTTTTTACAACCCTGTGAGAGTAGAGTCCTCACTGGTACCACTGCGCTCCAGTTTTTGGCTAGAGAAACTCAAAAGGAATTGTCATAGTCTTCCCTTCAGTGGTTTATTAAAAATGAACAAGCTTTCTTTTACAAAATGCTTAACCAAATAAAAATAAACACTTGGCTTTTTATTAATGTCTGTATGTTACAATGAGAAAATTCTAAAAAGTAAAACAATTTTATTTGAATATTCTTTAAAAAAAATATTTATTTTTATTGATTTTAGAGAGGAAAAGGAGAGCATCAATGATAAAATCATTGATCAGCTGCCTCCTGCAAGCCCCACACTGGAAATAGAGCCTGCAATCTGGGCATGTGCCCTGACCCTTCCTGTCCCCGTCCCTTCCTCTCTCTAAAAATGTGCCGTGACCTCCTGATTCATAGGTTGATGCTGGCCGGGCTGAATAAACCCTAGTTAAGTACTAATCTAGTCTACTTCATGGTATGGCAGAATAGACTAAAATATTTATATTAACATTGGAAAAGAACTAAAAAAGGAATAGGAATTTTCAGAACTCTAATATCTGGGTGGAACAGCCTTATTTATTTATACTACACCCTCACCCCAAGATCACTTTGGTAGTGAACATTTAGGAATTCATCAACTTGCACACTATTTTCAACTCAAAAAAAAGTAATAATGCTTTCTTTATGGAAAGCTGTGTGTTGATGGCTGCTAACTGGTGCTTTAAAATGAGACAATTAAATGTTAAGTACATTCATAAAATCCCAAGTTGTTGGCACAGATGAATCATTTAGCCTAGTGTTATGCTCAGACTACAGGTTTATAGAATAGAAGCTAGGGGCTGAGAGTTGAAATCAGCCAGTGTCTTCACTGCTTTTAGGTTGTCTTCCTGATGAGTACTTCCTTATTACAATAACTAAGAATAAAAATGTCCCTTTTGTCTTTAAACAAAAACAGCCTACATATTTAAAGAGCTGTTACTTTCATCTTATAAAAAGTCCTGTCATTGCCAAATAAACTTAATGAGTACACAGTAATTTACAAACCAAAATTGGGCTTGCCCTGCTGTTGTGGCTCAGTTGGTTGGGTGTCCTCCTGTGCACTGAAAGGTTGAAAGTATGTATGATTCCCTGTCAGGTCACATGCCTGGGTTTCAGGCTCTATCCCCAGTAGGGGGTGGGCAGGAGGCAGCCAATCCATGTTTTTCACGTTGACGTTTCTCTCCCCCTCCCTTCCTTTCTATAAAAATCAAAAAAAATATTAAACACACACACACACACACACACACACACACACACACACACACAGACACACACAAATTGAACTCAATTCCTGGCCTAAAGAGTAAACAACAGCCCAAGTCAGAATCCCAGAAAAAGGGGTGGGGCAGGATGTACTAATTGTCAGAATGACATACTTGCACTGTGTCTATTTGTTATTAATCCACATCCGAGGATTTCTCCTCACTGAGTTTTGGAGAAAGTGGAAGGGAGGGAGAGGGAAGTAGTAAAGAGAAACAGTGATGTGAGAGAGACACACCAATTGGCTGCCTCTTACATGCATCCTAACTAAGGGAATCAAACCAGCACTACCCAGGTACATGGCCTTGGCCAGGAATTGAACCTGAGACCCTTCTGTCTGTGGGCTAATGCTACAACCACTGAGCACACCTGCTAGGGCTGCAGTATATCTCTTAAAACCATTTTTACTTTGTGTAATTTTCAATGTCAAAAAACCCCAACACCTTTTTATTAGTTAACAGTACAATTTAACTCAATTGTGGCATTTCAAAATTATCATCCTATTTGTGGCAAATTTTAAATAATAAATCGATTTGTAATTTAAAAACCTGCCCTAGCTGGTTGAGCATTGACCTGTGGACTGAAAGGTCCTGGGTTCGATTCTAGTGAAGGGCATATGCCCGGGTTGCCGGCTTGATCCCCAGTAAGGGACATCCATGATTCTCCCTCATCACTGATGTTTTTTTCTATCTCTCCCTCTCCCTTCCTCTCTGAAATCAATAAAAATATATGAAATAAATAAAAACTCTGCCCTAATTTTGTCACTCTATTTAAAAATGGAGTTCCTGCCCTAGCTGGTTTGGCTCAGTGGATGGAGCATTGGCCTGTGGACCGAAGGGTCCATGGTTTGATTCTGGCCAAGGGCATGTACCTCAGTTGCAGGTTCCTCTCTGGTCTGGGCCCTGGTCAGGGTGCGTTGCAGGAGGCAAAAACAATCTATGTGTTTCTCTCACATAGATATTTCTATCTTTTCGTGTGAAATGTGTAGAATGGAGAGGTGAGAGGCAGACAGGAGGCATGGAGATTTGTCGGGACGATAGTCTCAGGTAAAATCTGAGAAAGTCTGTATCAGGACAATGCAGTGAGAATGGAGAGAAATATTTTAGATATAATTTTAAAAATACAGTGGAACCTGGGTTCTCAAACTTAATTTGTTCTGGAAGGCTATTCGAGAAGCAATTTGTTCAAAAACAGAATCATTTCCCCCCATTAGAAATAATGTAAGACCTCCAAATGATTCCGTTTTAACCTTTCTTATATTTAGTACATGTCTAATGTACTGCTTGTAATCTATAAACAAACACTTTTCTTAAATGTATCGAACCCCACCCCCTACTAGCCTTAAATGAATTACTTTTAGCACTCAATATAGGGTTGTCTTACAAGAAGTCAATATGCACCATCTTCGCTTTTTCCTTCTAAATGCTATCACAGGTTGATTTATCGAATGAACAATTTCTCTACTTATTCAATTGTCTGTGATAGTTGTTTCAGAGCACTTTCACACCCTTAGTGACATCAGCACTCTTGATGGCCTCCTTATGTTTTAAAATTGTGCTAATCGTCCATTTTGCCAGCAACAAAAGCAAAAAAAAAAAAAAAATCATGAAAATATTCACAACACAATGTCCTGAGAGATGCTTTTTGTCATGCTGATGTATCAGCTTGAAAAGGTTGTCAACCCCAAAGGAGACATTTTTACATTTTTTCTGTCTTGTGAACAACTTGGTTGAGAACCAAATTGTTCCAGATGGTAGATGTTGAAGAGGTTTTACTTTACCTTATTACTATCAACATCAATAACCCAATTTCAAGCATCTCATTCAACAACCCTTTGACCCCAGTGACCTATAATTAATTGATCCTATTTCTGTCTCCATCCCACCCCCAACCCCACTTCCATTTATTTCATGGTCATTCAGTCCCCTGCACAATACTCACTTGCATATACCCTCAACTTTTAACAATGTATTTAGTAATTATCTACCTGTAACCATCAGGTTAAAAGTGACTAGGCTCTAGCCAGGTGCGCTAAGTTGGTTAGAGTGTCATCCCGAAATGTCAAGGTTTTGGGTTTGATCCCCTGTCAAGGCACATACCAATCAATGAATGAGTAAGTGGAACAACAAATTGATGTTTCCCCCTCTCTCCCTAAAGTCAATATAAATTTTTTTTAAACAAAAGACTAGGAAAAAACCCATTATCACAATGATTTATTTCATTTTAAATGTATTATCAGATATCTCATAAGTCACACATCTCCCTAACCCCTTCACCCTCCTGGATTATTTCCGACCTTCCATAAACCTTCACTACCTTTTCCCTCACCCTCGACTCTAAATGGTGTCCATGCTTCCTATTTTCCTGGGAAAAAGAAAACAATTTTCTCCAACTTCTACATCTGCATGCACTCCCTACTTTACTGTTACTGAACTGTCCATGATCCTAACTAAAGTCATCAATTTCTCACTCTAGATCATGTCATCAGTTCTCGGCTCTCCCTTGTTGGCTGCCTACAATTCCTCTTTTCTCGTTAGCATACCTGCAGCTTTGTTGGCCTCTTATAGCTTTCCAAGCTTTTTATTTTAGAATTAGGGCCTACATATTTTTCACCACCAAAACCAGTTACTTCTAGCACAGTGTCTGGCATGAAAAAAATCTAAGAATAGAAAATGTGGGTCTAAAAAATTTCATTCTAACATACCAAAATATACATGGTTAACACTGGGTAAAATTAAAATTAAATTCCATTTCAGTCTTGCATATATTTACATTTTAAAAATAGTATTATGAAGACAAAATAACCTTAGTTTTAATCCAAAGCCTTTGTTTTAAGGACAAAGACCACAAGGGGGGAAAAAATAAGAAAAAAGATATTTTAGTTTAAGGAACAAAGAATCACAACTTTGAACTTCTTAGTTAGCATCCTCTCTGCATACTAACTGCATCAAATTAGCAAAGTTCTTACATTTTCCTGTCTTTATGTTGCCAACATAACTTATGAGCCATATGTAGAGGAAATATTAGTTACTATTTAGCAGTCAAAATGCAAAGATCAGTGTCAGGCACAGAGTGAGCTCCCAACACCATAAACCACCTTAAATAGATGAATAAACAACAGGAAAATCCGATGAATAAACAACAGAAAAATACAACTTAAGATACATGGTGGTAAATACTTACACAAGACAGCTGAGGTCCGCCAGATCATCAATAAAATCAAACAACTGGCTGATATCATATGTGATAGAGGGGCTGTTGGGATTCATTCTCTTCAGATGTTCTTCATACATTTTACAAACGCCTAAGGAAACCAAGATTTTACAACTGAGTATGATTAGTGTTATATGATATTACAATACTTATTTTCATAAACTTGGGCTGGGAAAATAAATTGGCTACATTTGTTTTAACTGTTATCACTAGCTATTTCACTTAAAAAAAACGTACAGTGCTCGCTTTGGCAGCACATATACTAAAATTGGAACAATACAAAGATTAGCATGGCCCCCTGCACAAGGATGACACACAAATTTATGAAATGTTCCATATTAAAAAAATTTATAAATTCACCAAAATGTTGGTGTTTTGTGCCTTAATAATAAAATGATAACTACAAGCCATTGGATCTAAAAGGACTTTAAAGACTTATCATATGATGGTTTCAACAAGTGAGGACTAAATAATGGGTCTTATCAGGCTTTTCAATAAACAAACATTCCTAAAGCCTCAAAGTAAAGAAAATCACCACTTAGGAATGATAGATGACAAACAGATGCTTTTCTATTTTGCTTTCAAAATCTGATACAATGCAAAAAAGACACCACAGACAACAAAAACCCCCTCACCCCCCCAAAAAACAAAACAAAATAGGCAACGAGGAAGAGATTATCATAAGTATTTAATATCCTTGACTGTGGATTCAGACTTGACTCCATCTCCTGAACTGTCAAATGGAGATAACAGTACCTTCATAGAGCTCTTGTGAACAGTATATGAAATAACGCATAAAAAGCACCAGCACATATAATAAGCACATAAGTACTCAAATATAAGTAATAAAAATACAATAAAACAAGCAAAATCACTGACAGCAAGCCTACATTAACAGAAATATCTAAAAGGCACATTATTTTTTATTCAGTGACACACTCTTCTCTTGTTCCTACAAAATGAAAGCATAACCTTCTCAGTCCATTTCCACTTCAAATACTTGCACTGACCCTCAGCTACCATCATAATTAACAGTGAAAGACTAGATGCTTTCCCACTCAGATTTGGAAGGACATTACGATATCTACCGTATTTGCCGGCGTAGAAGACGATTTTTTGGCCCTGAAAAATATGCCTCCAAGTGGGGGGTCATCTTATACGCCAGGTACACTTCAGATAGACTGCCCATAGTGCTTGCCCCGTGCCATAGTGGCCTCCCGATGCCCGCCCACTTCATTCCACATACCGTTCAGGCATCAGCAGCACTGCTGGGTGTATGCACGG